CCTGTATTACCCTCACCCTTTCCTCCTTTTCAGTCCTGTTACCCTATACTTGCTGAAATTACATCGTTATTTTGTTGGTACATCCACTTCAGTAAATGTAAGCTCCAAGTGAGCGGGGCCTTTTCCTGATTGTTCACTGCATTGGTGCAGTGCTTAGGACAGTGTCTGGCCCATAGTAGGTGCTTAGTATGGGTTTGTGGAATGAATATTAAAGTGAAGATGATGTTAACTAAACAGTTGGGTGTGTGATTCTGAAGCTCAGAGGAGAAGAAAGGTCAGACCTGAAGATCCACATTTAAGAGTCATTGCATAAAGATAGCATTTAAATCCATTGGCATTGATGCAATCCCCTATATTGAAGGAAGAGAGGACAAAAGGACCCAGGACTGAACCTTGAGACACCCCAGCACTTAGAGAGATCACCTGTCAATTTCTTCTTTGCGATTCTTATCATTTGCTTTTACTACTTTTCTTCCCTTGATCTGTAAAATTGCCTTTTAATTTCCAGAGCCCGCTTCTTTATAAAGTTGTGTCCATTTCTGACTTTCCTGATTAAGATCATAAGCCTCTTAATGGTAGGATCCTCTGGTGAAAATTATATAGTTGAATTAGATTGGGTCAGATTGGCTTGTGCTGGAGTGAAAAGCATTGCCATATTATAGAATTTTAGCCATTGAAATGTCAGTGCTGAGATTGAGAGACTGGATAAAAACTTGAACAATGGTCAGACTATCTATAAATACAGAATTCTGATCCACCAACTGCACTATCCAACCCAGGAAGTCAAACTACTACCTGCAGCTACCAGTCCAGGAAGTCAAACAATAATCCCTGTAACAATGGTCCCAAAATGTCCAGGGGTTGATAAATAACAGAGCTTCCTTAATTTTTCTCCCACTTCCAATTTAGGACCAACCAGAAAAAGCCAAACATGCCCCCCCAGACCAATCTAGGTAGCCTCTCGCCAGCTTCTCCATGCCAACAGCCTCCAACAGGCCACCCCTGTTTACATCATGTCAAGATGTATAGTTTTCCTTTTCCCCTGCCTGACTGAGGTAAAATAAATCCTAGCTACAACAAGCTCTAAATAAATTTAGGCCTTTGTTTATTCTCATTTGGTTCGTCTTTGTTTATTTCCACAAATGCTTTAATATTTCAAATTAATCAACACTGAGCTCATGTTCTTAATGAGTTATTATTATTATTGTTGTTGTTGTTGTTGTTGTTGTTATTGTGATTTGGGTGAAGATTTACAGAGCAAATTCACTTTCCATATAGCAGTTTACACATACTTTGTTGCATGACATTGACCACAATTTACCACAATGCAACAGCTCCCCTCCCACCTCCTCCCCATAGTTACCTCTTCCCAGTGTCCATCCCTCCATGGACTCCTGCCCCCTGAGCTGTATCCCTGTGCATAGGCAGCCCTTCTTTCTC